TTTTTTTTTTTTTTTTTTTTTTTTTTTTTTTTTTTTTTTTTTTTTTTTTTTGCTGCTGCTGCTGCTGCTGCTGCTGCTGCTGCAGTTGCTGCTGCTGCTTCTGGTGTTAGTGGTGCTGCTGCTCTTATTGCGGTTGCTGTTGCCCTTATTCCTGCCTGGCCTTGCTGCCCTTGGCGCCCTTGGCGCCCTTGATGCCCTTGCTGCTGGTGCTGCTGCTTGCGCTGCTGCTGCTGCTGCTGCTGCTGCTGCTGCACGGTTCTGCAACCCCACAGACGAGCAGGAAGCAGCAGCAGCAAAAAACTGCATGCAAAAAGAAAATAAATAATTTTTTATTTTTTTTAATTATTTTTAATTAATAAAATAAATAAATATAATTAATTAATTACTTTATTGACGCCTTAGACAGAGAGCTCGCTGCTGCTGCGCGGGAGTGCTGCTGCTGCTGCTGCTGCACTTGCTGCTGCTGCTGAGGGGCTGTGCTGCTGCTGCTGCTGCTGCTGCTCCTTACTCTTAATTTATATATTTTACTTATTATTAATAAATTTATTTATTTATTTATTTTTATTAATATAAATAAATACCAATAATAGGGTTTGCTGCTGTTTATAATAAGGGGGCTTATTGGGGGGCAAGGCTGCTGCTGCTGCAGCTGCTGCGGCTGCTGCTACTACTTACTACTCCTTGGGGAGTGAGAGAGTGCCCGGCAGCAGCAGCAGCAGCAGCAGCAGTAGCAGCAGCAGCAGCAGCAGCAGTAGCAGCAGCAGCAGTAGCAGCAGCAGATCTTGTCTTTTTTGCATCAATTAAAGTCTCTTCTTTTAGATTTTGAATTAGCAGCCACCATGTCAGCAGAGGAAGCAAGCAACGGTGCTGCAGCAGCAGCAGCAGCGCAGCAGCAGCAGCAGCAGCTGCTGCAGCAGCAGCAGCAGGATGCCGGTATTCCTCAAATACCTGGGTCTAATGAAGGCCAAGGAGTTAGCGAGGGTTTACAAGGTGGTGGTTTAGCAGATGGTTATGATAACAGGTCCTATGGGGGGGAGCAGCAGCAGCAGCAGCAGCAGCAGCAGCAACAGCAGCAGCAGCAGCAGCAGGGGGATTCACACCCACCCACAACCATGACAGAGGAGGAAAGAACAGCAAGAAAAATATTCGTTGGAGGGCTCAACAGAAATACTACAGGTCTGCTGCTGCTGCTCCTGCAGCTCCTGCTGCTGCTGCTGCTGCTGCTGCTGCTGCAGTTTCTAGTCCTGCTGTAGAAGCAGCAGCTGCTGCATGCTTGCTGCTGCTGCATTTACTATCAACTTTGCTCGAAACCCT